GAAAAAAATGGAAGGCAATGTAAAAATAAGTTTCATGTGAATGAAAGTCCAACTACAGCGACTTTAGTGAAACACATCAATTCTCATGTGGAAGCCAATGTAAGGCGTGAAAGAGAAAACAATTTGATATTAACAAATCCTATGAGAAAGTATGGATTTTACACTATTAGAATGAGTACTTATTATAACATATTAAAGGTCTTTCTATTTCATTGGTTCATTAATATAGAGGTGACAATACATAAAAAAATAAAAATACAGAAAAATGTTAAAGTGCTTCCATTTTAATGTAGAAACAAATCTAAAGAATTTGCTGCATAAATAATATAGTAGGTCAGTGTGCCATGAATCTAAATTTACACTTTGAAATTATAATGAATAGTAATTAATGGTGAAAAAGTTTTGGAGTAATGATGGAATATACTGAATTGTAATAGATTGGACATCTGGATATTTTAGACAGTAAAAGCTAAGGAAAAGGGTACATGTTTACATCTAAATAGAATGAGATGTGATTTCCTAAATTAATAATGCAAACTTGAAAAATAGCCTCAGGTTCAAAAGACCAATTATAAAATTCTTTTGTAAACAAATCTATAATCGCATTTTTCATGAATAATTATAACTACTAGTATTTCTCCAGTAATGTTCAATTTGTAAAATGAGAAATATATTTTCAAATGAAATTTAAAGAATATTTCAGTTTATAATGATAGTAACTTACTTGCAAATAAGTGTTAATAATGACAGAGATACAAATACTCTATAGTTTTTATCTATAGGTATTATGCAAATAAAAAACTAAATGGGGAAAAGTTATTTAGTTATTTGAGCAACAAAATACTGTGGAAAGATACCAACAACATAAATACAAAATTAAAAAAATATATAAAAAGAAATTTCTTAGGAAATATGTGATCTTAAAGATATACAAAACATATGAAAATAATACATACTCAAACTTATGAAAAGAAGACATTTGCTTTGTTAGGTGTTTTAGATATGGCATCTTGTACCTCCTATTCAACGAAAACAATCTTTTTTTTAACTTAAATGTCTGTTCATTTTAAAGTCATTTTCTCATCAACAAGATAATAAAGGTATCTGTTCTAATCATATTTCATTCCTAGACCCTAATTTCAGAAGGATTCTTATTTTGGCAAGTTTTCTGTACCCCTAGTCAAGGTTAACTTGCCTGTTGTTCACTAGTAAAAGCAAAGGTATTCATATGTGCACAGAATGGTAAGATTGGATGAGCAGAAGCTGTTCAAACTATTTAATTTCATAATAATCAAATTATTCAAAAGAATTAAATGAACATAAAAACAACATTTTTATAAAGGACATTAAGCATTTCAAAGGACATTAAGCATTTCAAATGGAAATTTGATAGATATCACCAGATTTAAATGTTCTATGTATTTAATTCATAGGACAGTAACAATATACTTAGAAAACACCATCCTTTTTTAACGTATTCCTGACAGAGGTATAACATGGATGAGATCCAGCTGGCTCAAATGCAATACTAAACAAAAGTGATGCTATTTCAGAGAGACAACTTGAATGGGGGACAAGTAATACGACCTCAACCTTAGCAAAAAATATAATACACTTTCAAACCAAGGAAATCTGAAATACTTTCAATTACATGTATGCACACCAAAGAACAAACAGTACCGGTCAGAGAAAAAACAAAATCAATCACAATCTTTACAGTTATGCCATCAAAAAACTTAAATCCTATGTCTAGAAATTTATTCTGAAAAAATCATGGATATACACAAAAATTTAGGCATAAGCATTTTCAGAGTAAAAGCCAGAGAACAGCATACTGACTAAAAACATAATAAATTGATTATTGTACATCAGAGTAACTCAGGATCATACACATAGTAAATGTATATTTCAGAAGAGTCGTTTTCAAACTAAGCATTTTGAATCTGTAAAGTATGTCAGCAATTATCCAAAACTGATTTTGGATTTAATAATTTTTTTAACCACTTCAAAACTGTAAAAACAATCCATTGTGACATGGATTATAAATAAAGAGAATTTTAAAGTGGGAAGAGTTACTGATAACAATTGCTGATTGGCCTCCAGGCCTTCAGGAAAATGCCTTCAGGAAAATGAAATTCCTGTATTAACTCAAGGTATCCTGAGCAGTATCCTGAGATTGAAAGGTGAAGTAAAACTCTGGCTATGCTAAACATTCACCTGAGATGACAAGTAAAAACGGCCACTCTGCAGTGCTTGGCTCTGTGACGTCAGTCTGTTTTTCACCTAACATTCATTCACCAAGATCCCATGAGGCTGGCCCACTAATAATTCAGAACTTACAAATGAGAAAGTGGCATGTTGGACACTAGTTTAACAGTCCCCAGTCACTCTGTGCTGAGCCCAGATCCCTCACACAAACTGTGTTCCTCATAATGCCCATGCCCTGTGCACATACCAAAACCAAGACAGAAACAGGTTTGTGGAGGCCAATCAGCAATTGTTATCAGTAACTCTTCCCACTTTAAAATTTTCTACTGTCAAAACAGTCTGATTACACTATTTTTCATGTTATAATAAGTATGATAAATTTTAACCATGAATTCTACTTATAAGTGATAAACAGCATGTTCATCTATTTTATAAGTGGAGCTTTATATACAACCCTGTTTGAAATGAGAGTTCTGCCAATTAGAAGTCTGAAAACCATAGTTATTTAGGAAAATGATCAACATGGAAAGGTAGTTTCAATTTGCTAAGTATAAAAAATAAAATCTACACTAAACAAAAATTTCCCCCAAAACAACAATAAAAACTTATGCATATATATAGACTAAAAGGATAAGCCCAAGAGCTAAGAATAATAATTTAAAGGAATTTTTATGATTTTCTAATTGATTTTCTGTGTTTTACAAGAAAGACAATTAAAGATCTTTAATTGTCTTTAATAAGAAAAAAAGAGTATCCAATAATGTTTATTTTTTAAAGAACCCATATTATCAACACCTTAGAACTTCTATATCTACCTCTAATTGGATCACCATTTTCCCAAATTTCCAAGAAATACCAATCCAGTGTTATGCAAAGACAGAACTCATAAAATGTTGAATGAATGAATAATTAATGAATGAAATATATCTGTAATATCTCTGTACTATTCAGTGACCTTTCACATAAAACTTAATGCAATAATGTGGTTGATAATAGAAATTATGGCAATATATTTGCTGAAAGCACAGGCTAGATCCACAGGAACATAAAAATCTACTTTTTAAAGAAGGCTTCAGGCTTAACATACATTCTAATAGTCAACAAAGGTGGGCTGCATTTAGAGACACACACTCGATTCCGTATCATCATTGGTGCCACGGATAACAGAGAGCTTCAGCTCCAGGATGATGAAGGCTCTCACTCTCTAGTTCAGGTTTCCAAAGACAGATGTTATGCAGTTGCCTACAAAACCCCTGAGCGTCCCATGGATCACCATCGCTTGCACAGGCGCCAGGTGCAGCATGACCTGACCGAAAGCTCTATTTTCCATCTGACCTTCCACTGTGCCTCTCTCCACATACCTTACCCTGCAGCTCAGCGAACAATTTAGCGTTGTTGAGTATACCCCACACTTTTCTGTACTGAAGCTTTGCTGCTGCCACTAAGGAATTCTGCAAACTGGCAGGCATCATTCAGCCATTATGGATGTCACTGAGTGAACTGAACATCCATGACCTCCAAGATGCTTCCAGCACTAAAATTCTACACAGTGTCATCACCTCCTCATCCTCTTAGAACAGACATCATGTCCTTGATATAATTTTATCATTGCTTATGCCATAGCTGAAATGCTCGTTCCTCTGTGAGAACTTCATCTGGGCTCAGTACAATCCTTCTCTACATGTTACTCTGCACTCTTTACTACCCATTCAAATCTGTATTATCATTACTTATAAATATTAAGTCACTTTTTATGCTACAATATCATTAGTGGTAGGAAACATTTCTTATATCATCTACATTGTCTTAATGAGTACTTAACTCATAGTAGATGAGATTCCATATATGGGTTGAACAAGTGATTAAATTGAAATGGTTTCCTTACTTTGAGCAACACAATAAGATCACTGGAAATTCAGGTGTCAGAAAACATTATAAAACCTAAATGTTAAGAATGTACAAAATGGAAAAGAGCTTTATATTTTATAAACAGCAACTAACTCTGTAGGTACGATAGATTATACATTCATCCAAACCCATGGGATGTACAACATCCAGACTGAACCCTAATGTAAACCACAGATTTTGGACAATAGTAGTGTCGGTGTAAGCTTAACGACTATAGACAACGTCTCACTCTGGAGGGGGCTGCTGGTAATGTGGACGATAGCAGAGTCAGCATAAGCTCATCGACTGTAGAAAATGTCCCACTCTGGAGGGGGCTGCTGGTAATGTGGGAGGTTATGTATATAGTGTGGTAGGGGACATATGGGCAGCATTTGTACCATCCTCTCAGTTTTATTGTGAACCTAAAACTGCTCTATAAAAAAAAGTGTACTTTTCTTTTTCTTTTTTTTTTTGAGTCAGAGTCTCACTCTGTCATCCAGGCTAGAGTGCAGTGGCATGCTCATGGCTATTGTAGCCTAGACCTGCTGGGTCCAGGCAATTCTTCTGCTTCAGCCTTCCAAGTAGCTGGAACTACAGGTGCGTGCCACTATGCCTGGCTAATTTTTTGATTTATTGTAGAGATGAGGTCTCATGATGGTACCATGGGCTCAGGCAATTCTCTCACCTCTGGCTCCCAAAGCACTGCGGTTACAGGCATGGCCACTGTGCCAGGCTAAGTGTATTTTTCATCACAAAAATTAGGTATTCATTCTAATGTATGAATCATGCTTGAAAGTACACTAATTCATGTTGGTCAGCAAAATTACATTCCTACTGGGGATTCAATAGGATTTTCATCCATCATGGTGGCCCATCTGATTGGCAGCTCAGTGATGAGTCATTACCTGTAATCACACCACGGGCATCTGTAGGGCTTTTCTCCAGTGTGCACACGTTTATGTCGAGTCAAATGGGACTGGGTTGTGGAAGCAAAGTTACACTCATCGCATTTGAAAGGTTTTTCTCCTGAAAGAGATCAAGAAATGTTATACATGAATAACAATAACATGTATAACACTGGAAATGAAGGGGTAAACTTGGTATTGACAAATTTGAAAAACTTATTTCCATGAAAAATTAAGAATATAGTTTGATGGACCTCACATACTTAAGTTATTTAAATACTTATTCTCAGAGCGAGAAATGTCAAAATATCATGATTTTTGTTTTTATACTAGAATACAAGCAAACTATACCTTATAGAGTTAAAGCCTATTTTATACAAACAGCAATCTAAATCACAGGCTTACTTAGCACTTTATATTTAGAATGAATTAACAAACTGAGTTAGATTAGTGCCATTATAAAAATCTCAGTGAAATTTTTTAAAACCATGGAAAGGCATATAACACAGATATACTTTGAATATAAAATGGAAAACTTATTAAAATCTCAACATTTTATATGAAGAAAAATAAAATCAAACTATAAATGAGCACCGCTTTAAAAAGTGTTGAATTTTTAAAAATGTAGTTCATTAAGTTGAGTAAAAGGTAAAGAGACCACAAAATATATTTAACATAATGTTTAATATTTAAATTAAATTCAAATTTAATATTAAATAAGATTTAAAACTCCATTAAAATATTCCAACCCTGAGTAGATGTAACAGACAGATTGATAGACAGACAGACAGACAGACAGAAAGACAAGACACAGCCATGTATCATTTAGTAACAGGGATATATTCTGAAAAATGCATCATTAAGTGATTTAATTATTGTGAGAACATCGTAGAGTGTATTCACACAAACCTAAATGATATAACATACTGCACTCTAGGCTATACGATATAACCTACTGCTCTTTGACTGCAGAGTCTATTATTATGCTGACTACTATAGACAATTGTAACACAAAGGTATGTATTTGTATATCTAAATATATTTAAACATAAAAAAGTGGAGTAGAAATTCAGTATTATAATCCAAAGGGACCAGCATTGTATATGTGGTCCCTTGTTGGTGGAAACGTCCTCATGTGGTACATGACTGAGTGTGTGTGTGTGTGTGTGTGTGTGTGTGTGTGTGAGAGACTGAGTGTGTGTGTGTGTGTGAGAGAGAGAGAGAGAGAGAGAGAGAGAGAGAGAGAGAGAGACAGACAGACAGCCAGCCATTTTATCCATGAGGAAGTTCAATAACTTGCACAGGAAACGAAAACAGTAAAGTAGTATGCTGATATCTAGGAAAAGTATTTTGTTCACTTGATACCCTTCTTTCCCTTAATCATTCCTCATCCCACTCATCCACTCAAAGAATCATCAAGTCTATCAGTTTTTAATTCCACTAGTTACATTGGCCAGTAGGCACTTGAAATGGGACTATTTAATTTTAATTAATGTAAATTTAAAATTGAAAACCGATAGTCAATTCGGCTATTGAAAAAATGTTTAAATATGGTAAAACAGCTTGGAGATATGAATCTACTTTTTGAAGTGTAAGTTTTATCAAATCTAATTATAGATCGTGTATTTCAGATGGAAATTTAGCCTCTGAATTGAGATACTCTGTAATTGTAAGATAGCTACCAAATTTCAAAATTCTACTACAAAAATAATAATACCAATATTGCTAAAAATGTTATATTGGCTTCATGTAGAAAGGATAATTTGAATTTGATTAAATTAAGTATATAATTTTAAAAGTGACTTTACCTATTACTTTTTTTTAACATGGCTGCAAGAAAACATAAAATTACACTTGTATAGCTCACATTACATTTGTTTTTTGTTGTTGTTGTTTTGTTTTGTTTTTTTTCAGTTGAAGTCTCACTCTGTTGCCCAGACTGGAGTGCAGTGGCCGCTCCCAGCCCCTGCAGCCTCGACCTGCTGGGCTCTGGCGATCCTTCCACTCAGCCTTCCAAGTACCTGGAACTTCAGGCACGCGCTACCACGCCCAGCTAATTTTTTAATTTATTGTAGCGATGAGGTCTCGCCAAGTCGCCCAGGTGGGTCTCGAACCTGCGGGCTCAGGTAATCCACTCACCTCGGCCTCCCAAAGCGTGGGATTACAGGCTGAGCCACCGAGCCCGGCCTCACATTACACTTGTATTGAACAGTAATGATCTAGAGAAAACATCACATCCTATTCCCCCCAAAATAATTAATATATAGTAATATTTCTCTCAACAGATTTTTTCTTGACAATTTTACATATAATATGGATGGCTCATATTTTTTTCAATAAGTCTACTTGTTATTTCTTACTTTTCATACTTATAAAGTTATAAGTATACTGACTTATTTAGAAAATAAAAAATGAAATATTCTAATTTACTGTATATCGATTTGGCTATCAACAAAGCTATATCTGTTCCCAAAATCAGAACATTAAGAAGTTTGCCTTACATTCTTTGTCTGTTAATACTGCTTACCTGTAATTGAGATAACATTTAACTAAAGGCATATACATCTACTTTGGTGGTATTATATCTCTCACTGAAGCACAGTGGAGTAGTTAGATGAAACTAGATGAACTTCAATTCTAACCCCAGTGTTGCCATATTTTACTTGCTACCTGGTAGATCCCTTGAGCAAGAGGATAATACCACCAAAAATGCAGGGTAATTGTGAGGATTAAAGATGTCAAAGAGTATGGAAAGATCACACTTAGCACAGAGTGCTCAATAACCAGTTGCTTTTCATTGTATCATGATTGTAACACAACTGCCTAAACACTGATAATTGTCAACAAGTCTCTCACAAAGCTAAAAGAAGCACACAAATGCTTCTCATCAAGAGCTCATAACCAAAAAAGATAAATGGCTAGCATACATAAAATGAATAATAGTTTTGCAGAGTCAGTAGATACAACGTATTTTTTAACAGAGCCTATCAGGAAGTATTTCTATTTGACTTATTCTTGCTAAAAAAAAAAAGGTGGTAAAAATCTGAATTGAGGCCGGCCACAGTAATTCACTTCTGTAATCTTACCACTCTGGGAGGCCAAGGTGGAAGGATTGCTTGTGCTCAGGAGTTTGAAACCAGCCTGGGAAACATAGCAGGATCTCATCTCTACAAAAAATGAATCGAAAGAGATCTTTGTCTCTTTTAGTCATTTGTCCTTAAGATAAAGCCCATCTACAGTGTCCCAATCAAGTGGTCACCCAAGGTCTGCTTGAATAACTCTTCATTTTCTGCTTCTAAACCTCTGGTCAAGTAACTTATATTGCTACAGACAATTCAACTGCACTGAATTGACTTGCACAAAAATTTACTTTTATGATGATGACAGACTTTGCTTTAATTTGAAGAATATATCATTTCATATTTTATAAGATAAAGGAAAATAATTCAATCTCTTCAAATTTGACCCAGGAATATTCTGTATCATGGAAATATAACTATCCACAATCCACACATAGGCATATCTGAAAACATGTACATCATGAGAACGAAGTTTGTTCATTTAATTCAATGAATAGTAATTAAAATGCACTCCAGTGTCACAGTGCAGTACACATAAAAAATAGAAACACAAAAGGAAGTACTAGTTTGGATAAAATCACACATATTATTAATTTTTACTAAACTATCAAATATATCTATCTACACTGACCACAAGGTAGAATGTGTAAAGCATTTCAAATAGCTTCAATGAGATGTCATTGACACACAAAAGCTTTCCATATTTGCAATGCATCATCTGACAAATTTTGTTACTGATGAAATCACCAACCCCGTCAAGATAATAAACACAATCATCATCCCCAAAGGACTTATACCTCACTGTCTCTCCTGTTCGTCCATCCCCAAGCTACCTCAAGCATCTGCTTTCTGTTATTATACATTCGTTAGCATTTTCTAGAAATGTATTTACCTGGATATACATGGTATGTACTCTTTTGTCAGACCTCTTTCTTACAGCATAATTATTTTGTGACTCATTCATGTTGCTACGGGTAAAAAATACTTCATTTTCATTGCTGAGCAGTATTCCATTATATGCATGTACCAAGTTGGCTTATCCATTATCCTTAGAGGACATTTGAGTTATTCTATTTTTATTATTACAACAAATAAATCTGCTATAAACCTATATATGCAAGTCATTGCATAGACTATATATTTCCTTATCTCGTGAGTAAATACCCTGGAGTGGGATAGCTGGGGCATATGGTAGGTATATATTTAGCTTTGTAAGAAACTGCCAAACGGTTTTACCAAGCGGTCTGACCATTTTACATTCTCACCAGTTGTATATGAGGGTTTCAGTTGCTCCAAAACCTCACCAACTCTTGTGATAGTCAGGGCTTTATATTTGCATTTCGTTAAGGATTTTGAGGATCGTTTCATGTTCCCATGTGCCATACATGTATATTCTGTGGTGAAGTATCTGCTCAAGCCTTTTGATCCCTTTTTTAATTGGTTTTTTGTTTTCCTAGGATTGTGTCTTGAGAGGTCTTTACATATTCTGGATATAAATTCCTTATAAGATCTGTGATTTGTCTTTAGTACCTTCACAAGTAGCTTGTGAAGAGGAGAAGTAATTATTACCTTACTAAGTTTTCAATTTATCAACTTATACTTTTTCAAATAATTATTTTTCTTTTATGTAGCAGGTTATTGATATTACAACAACAAACAACTGGCAATCCAAGGTCACAAATATTTTTCACCTATGTTTTCTTCTAGAATTTATTTCAAATTTTACATTTAGATTATGTTCATTTTGAACTAATTTTTTAATGAGATATGAAGTATGTATCAAAGTTCATTTTTACTGCATGTGGATATCCAATTGTTCTAAGACTGTATGTTAAAGACTAAATTCCTTTGTTCCTTTGTCAAAAACCAATGAACTATTTCTGTAATCTCTATTCCATTCCAATGACATATGTATCTATCCTGATGCCAATACCAGAATGATTTGATTACTATGACTGTATAAGAAAAGTCTTGAAGTAGTGTAAGTTCTAAATTTTTGTTCTTCTTTTTCAATGTTGTTTGACTATTACAAATTTTTGTAAAAAATAAAATAAAATAAAATAACCTGATAGAATTTTGACTGATCAATGTGAGGAGGATTGACATCAATATAAAGTCTTCTGATTCATAAACATGGTATATCACTTTGTTTAGGTCTTCTTTAATTTCTCTCAGCAGTGTTTTAAAGTTACCATTGGAACAGTTGTATATATCCTTTGCTAAGTTTATGTCTAAATATAGCACTTTGCTTGAAAACAATTGACAAATATATGCACAGATCTATTCCTGGACTCTATTCTGTTACATTGACCTATCTGTCCATCTTTGTGTTAGTAAAATATTGTCATGATTATGGTAGCTATATAATAACAATTCGAGTTAAGTAGTATGAATCTTCCAATTTCAGGTATCTAAGTGACCAACCAATTTAAATATTTTGTTCATTATGCAAATTTACAAATATATACTGATGTCTCCTTATTCCATTTAATCTAAGTATTTGTAAAATGTTTTGGCATCATAAATCACTGCAATTGTGTTTTCTATAACAGTCTTGGTAGATATCTTCAGACTATCCATTTTTTATGGATTTAGCAGGTATCTGAAGGGGGGATAAGGCATGACATCATGGACTCCATTGCTTGAGTCAGTGGTGTAAATTAAAGGTCATCTAAGATCTTCAACTTATTTTTCTTGGTTTGGTTATTGAATATACACTCTTTTGATAATGTAGCTTATTTTATTTAAATGTTCATGGCAATTTTATGTGACAAAATTTATACTTAAAAACAATACTTTTAAGGAATAATGCCATTTATACTCTCTATAGTCACATTAACCTAGTATTATATTGTAATACATTATAAATTGTCATTTCATATTTACCTTGACCAGACTATCAATTAGATTGTGTAATATTAAGAAAGTCCGAATTATATATAGACTGACAGCAAAAAAATATGTAATATTATAAAATATTATGCTACATAAAATACTATGCTAAGGAAGGCGTGCATGTCTGAGCTCCTGATAAGTTAAGAAGTCCATGTCAATTTATACAGACTACAGTTGATACAGTTTATACAAACTACATAATAGTTAATTTATAGTCAATTTTGTTACAAGTTCAATACTACTGCTCTAATATGTAATTTAGTAATTCTTCTTACCATTCATGGGTAATTTCTTCAATAAAATATAATGCAGACATACAGAAGGAGTTTCATATTTATTAGTATTAATATATAGAAAAAATATTAACCCAACTTCTAGACTGAAGAGTCTGAAAGAGAATCATTCAAATTTGAAATGAAAATTTCCGTTTACTCAATATTTAATTGCTTGGTGGGAGACAAGTACCATATGAAGAGGTATATATGTTTGTTAAGAAAAAATGTTTGATGGTGGACTGATCAAACGGGTTAGATGCATTATAGGAAACTGCTTCTGCAATCCTTGTCATTTCAAAGCCAGAAGGAAGGGTAAATCTATGAATAAGATAGTCACTACTCCCAAATAATGTTATCTATAAGTCAACAGGACTACCTCCACATATACTATTCAAAAAAGCAAAACAATGGTAAAATTTCCTGTCCTTCTATCTCTCCCTTACGTGAGAGGTAACAGTACCTGGTAGTTTAAATTGTGGTGCTTTTCATACTTTCCTTTAAATCACTAATCATTAAGAAATATTTTACATCTTATGCACCACTGGTAGAAAAGTAAAGGGAAGCCAAAGCAGGGGCAGCAGAATGGCTGTCAACACAGTGAGGTGTCCTTTGCATGTCAACCATCTGTCAGACAGGCTGACCACATCTTACGGAAATGCATACTTGGATTCCTTTGGGTGGGCTGGTGGTTATTAAGCTGGCCAAGACTCTTCAACTATATGTGAGGATCTGCTCCTGCGCCCTTGAATCAAGGGTCTCTGACAGGTGATAAAAGTAAATCTCAGAATGGAAGATGTTTTGTGTCAGCCCCCTGGACAGTCTGTATTGCGGAAGGGAATTATTTACGCCATTTGGAGCACTTTTGATACTTATCCCTTTCTAAGCTGATTGTAATTTGCGTGGATACTCTGTGGTAAAAAAGTAAACCATGTCAAAGAGGAATACATCAGAGAAGTATAGATTTCAAATGCACCATACAAGTCTGGCCTTGGAGGGAAAAAAAAGGTGTGTTGTTTAAGTATTTTAAATCCAGCATGAAAGTTAAGTGCCTAGACTGAGCTGTACGAAGCTGTTTTGTTGAAGCACACTGTCTGAAGAACTGACTTTGGTATTAAAGAATCATGTTTGATTTGTGCTACAGAGGCAGATAAATGCCAAAAAGACAGATACCTCTGTCTGTGAGACATTGTCCTATATGGTATAAAGTTAATAGCAAAGTAATAAGGAGCCTCTGGACCTGACATAAAATATAAAGTTGTGCCAGCTCGATGCAGGCCTCCTGATCGATCTATCACCGGCAACGCCCGTGATCACAGCATTCCTGTCTCTACTGCAGCAGGAAGAGGGCACTACCCACTGGCAGAGGTGCCACAGCAGGGGAGTCTGTTGTTCCCTGGGGCCACACCAGCTGGGACAAGGTGAGCTTCAATGACATTTAAATGGTAACAATTTGAGCACCAATAAACTGAAAGCATTAAGAATAAAAAAGCTCTCATGAGCACACTGTTAACATAAATATTTCCAATTTTGCCACAACAGTGGTCAGAGACAAATGCCATTAACAGGGTCCCTCCTGTCATCTCTTACACTGAATTCTTAAATCAGTAGATTTAAATAATGCATGCACAGGTGGCTTCTATAAACTGAAAATGGAGTTTTATGTTTGCAAAGTTAAGTTTATATTTCCAACATTATACTAAACATTGAAAAGTTCCCTTTGACTCAATAATAATTACTCTTATTCCTTAAGAAAATTTGAATCCTACATACTCAGACTCAAGACCTAAAAGAAATGATTGGCATTAAT